GCGCGCGGGGGCGCGGCGGGGAAAACGGTTCGCTAACGGCTCGGCGGCCGGAGGGGGATCGGCGGGAGCGCTGAGGAGGCGGCGGCGGGGCGGTGAGTCCCGGAGCGGGGTGAGCTGGTGGGAGGCTTTGTGGAGGTTCCCGCGGTGTTATCCGGTAGGCAACGGGGAGCAGGAGTTTGGGGGTGCGGGGGGGGCGTCAGTGGTGAGGACTACAACTCCCAGCATGCGTTGCGCTCGGTGGGCTAGTAGCACCGCAGTGGCAGGCAGCGCTGCATGCCGGGAGTTGTAGTCCGCGCCTCGCCCTGTGAGGTACGCTGCAAACGCCGTCTCACCGGATCAGTAGTTACTGGAGCGGGGGGAGAGGCAGGGCTTATTTACCTGGTGTCAGTCGCGACTGTCGCCTAGCGAGCCGTGACGGGGCCTCTGGGTGAGGGAAGAAGTGGCCTGAGGGGATGGAAGAAAAACTGAATAGATCTGAGTCGTTGTGCTTAGAAGAGCGAAGGCTAGTGGGGTGTGATTACTCTCTTCTGTGTGATTTCTTTTTCCTCCATTTCTATAGCGAGTAAGAAAAGAAACTATAGGTTTAAACTGCAGCAAGGAACATTCTGGTTAGGTGCTGGGGTAAAAAGTTCTGGTAATAGGGTGACTGCACTGAACTACATTCGAAAGATAAAGAATTTCCATTATTGGAGGCCTTTAAGAACAAATTAGACTCTTAGTGCAGTTACTGTTGCATTACCATTGCTGCTCCTTGGCATACAGACATGTTGGCTTTTAACTTTAGAAGGAGATGTGGAACATGCAAAGACTTGTCTAAAAAGCAAATGGGGATGCTTTTTTAGTGGTCCTGCAAGTAGATAAATATGCAAGATTTAGGCTTTGGGTTAGCAAATATGCAAACATTTGGGCTCATTTAGCACTGGGTATTTCTGTTGGTTTGCTTGTTAATGTGTGGTTTGTACTGTATGGATTATAATTGCTGGATTTTAATTTGTTTTTGCTTCCTCCTGTTCCGTTTGATTTACAGGTAATGAAACGCCACCACGCATCTTCCAGTAAAATGGGGGAGACCGCTGGTGGGGGATCAGTAAAAAAAACGTTTAAATCACAAAATCAACAGGGGCCTTCCAGCAAAAAAAAGGGAACAGATGGAGAAGGAAGAAAACAAGTTCAAAAAAGAAAGGTAATCATTATTTTGGGTCAATCAAATTAGAAAAATAACCAAAGAAAAAAAAGAGGCATTTTTTGCCAAATTTTTTACTGGAACTTATCGAGAATATTTCATGAAGTAAACATAGTCCTCTTGAGGAACTGTCCAGTGTGAACAGCTTTTTTGAGACCCACTGCCTTAGCTGCTCCCTGGTTTCCAGAATTTCTAGTTGTGTGCTACCATGCCTGTGACAAGTAGAGGGAAGCACTGCCTGATGATTAATAAAAAGGCAAGCTGGCTGTGCAGTTTTGAAGAGCTGCATAGCATCTGTTTGAACAGAGTGATCAAATCAGAGTTCGTGCAGGTGATGTTTATTCAGTTCTGGAAAATGTTCTCTGCATATCTCAGGATTGGCCTGAGCAGCTTTCTGTTGGAGAGAGCTTGCTTAACCATAGAACTTATGAACAGCATGATCTCGAGATGTGGCTGGATAGCAAAACATCTTATGCATTTCTTATTTCATGACGTCATTCTTGGAATGGGAGAGACTAAGAAGAGCGAATTGCTTTCCTTAACTGGCTTGAGATGAATTACTGTTTCACAGTTCAAATAGTGGTCAATAGCAACAGACCTCTGTCAGGCGCTGAAGGGCTTTCACAGGCTTTTTATAGCAGGTTGCTAGTAGTAAATGAATGGTTGCACAGCAGAGGATGTTTCAAAATTACCATAATTGCTCTAAATTTTTCTTTTCAGCAGGTCACTCAGACAGTCAAAAGGAAAGCTAAGGAACACGAGGACTATTCCCCTGCAGGTAGGATTGTATTCTTTCCTTATTTGCCTCATGCAAATTCAGTGTTTTGAAAAAACAGTGAAAGTAAAAGTAGTAACTGCTACGCTGAAATCATAGATGTCTGAGATGTCACTGAAATAAGCTTCAAAGTTTTCTTTCTGAACAGTAACAGCGAGTATTTGCAGTACAGTCTTAACCAGCGTGCAGTCACGTTATATGTGTTCTATATGCACGTATTAATCATATGCTTTTGTTTGCAAGTAGTGTTTTTCTCTTGTAAAATTCCACCACAAGCACCCAGAACATTTTCACTTTCTCTTCACAGGTCATCTCTGTTAACCTTCTGTCTTAAGACTGGCATGTGTTGTATTGAACACACAAATGAGATGAGGCCCCTGCTGCGTTGAGTTTCTTGCTTATGTATTTTCCCACTCTTTTATTTCATTCTGAGTTTTCTCACTTGTATCGCCAATGATTTTGGGAAAGGATCTGTTTAGAATGAAACTGCTGTAAGAAGGAACCTTTTCTATTTTGTGCTTTTTAAACAACTTGTGACTTGCAAATAATAAGTACCACCTAATGTGGGTAGATTTGACCTGATAGTTTTGTGACATGGAAAAAACCGTTACACCTTTGACTACGATCTGACTGAACTGAGTCACAAAGCTGTCTATCCAGGTTTGACAAATCATATCTTTTCCTTTTTACTTTGTGTTAACAGGAGAAAAAGGTTCTTCAAAAAAGGTGAAGCTAACCAGTGCTAAAATAGGATCTTGGCAGACCCTCTCAGAGAGCAGTAGGCAGTTTTTGGAAGCTGTGATGGATTCAGTAATACTGTAAGTGCCAAATACCCTGGTGGTGGTTCTTTGTTTCCACAAGAAATAAAGTAAAAATCATAACATTGCTTGAACTGGAAAAGCTTTGGAGCTTTTTTGGGCAATATGGCTGGCTGTGTATATTTTGTCCGGTATAATATAACACTTTCTATCTGAAGTTGGAAATTTTTAGCTAGGGAAGTTCTGACTATGTTCACTTCACTTGATGAGTTCTTTCTCCTTGCAATGACTTTGCAATGAAAATTCTGCCTTTATTTTCTTTCCAGATCTGTTTTGTGCCAACAAAGTGAGAGAAAAAGTGATGTTCAGAAGCACCTCAATTTACTGAAAGAAAGGTAATAAATTATGATTTAAAAATAAAAAAGAGGGAGAGAAGGGATTTAGCTTACCCAGTTGTTTTGTACCATACTTACAGAATTGCCCCTGGGAGCAATCACATTTAGGAAATCTTGGGAGGAAGAGGAGGTGCAAAATTAAGGAGGGAAATATCTTGATGGTATGTTGAAGTGGACAAGCGAGAGTTGTTGAAAGACCCGCTTCAGCTACTTCTATATGAGTAACAGAACCTAGGAGGTATTCTTAAGAGCTCCATGAATCAGCTTTATACTCTATACAGGGTTTAAATTTTTGGGCAGCTATTTATTACCATTTTACGATAGTGGCGGGAGCAGGTATAGCTAAATTTTCTTAAATGATAATTCATTTTCTGACTGTTGAAGTTACTTCAAAGAGAATTTAAATTTTGTGCTGAGGCATAACTTGTAGCCTTCTTATGCCTTTGTGGGAATAATTACATATGCCTGAGTGTCTGAGAATTTTTGTTTGCATGTGTGTCGGTATACCAGGCTCTTACCAACATAGAGCCCGAGCCTATATGTTGCTTTCTTTGTTCTTACAGTACCTCAAGATTCGAGCATGAGGAGCTAGGTTTTCATAAATGTTGGGGGTTTTGGGTTTTTTTTGTTTTTTTAATTTTTAATTTGTGACATGTTAAATTTCTGGAATCTCATCTGAGATGCATGGAAATGGTGGCAGTTTGGTCACCGTCAGCAGTTATCTAACAGACAGATCCAACTTGGAAGAACTGCAGTCTTCCTCAGAATCAGAAGGACCTTTAAGAGCAAGCTCTTCCTCTGGCATAAAACTATATATTGTGTTTCACAAAAGCATTTACAGATTTTACTAAAATGTTCTTTGTTTGGAAGCAGTTAAAAATGCTGCTTTTAGAACTTAGTTTTACTTTGAGAAGCAGAAAGGTCAGAACTGGGAAAATATTAGTTAATGTCAGTTTACAGTGAGGAGTGTACAGGCCAATGGGATAGAAACCACACAATATCAGTGTAATAGCAAAGGTTAGAATGGTGGGATTTCTTGTTCCTGGTTCCTCCCTTAGACATCAATTCCACATGAATTTGGAAAACAATTCAAGACGGCTTTTCTTCCTGTCTGGATCCTTTTACTTCACTGGCAGCAATTGGGCTAAACTGAGTTGATTTTTTCCCCAGAGAAGTCATTAGTCAGTTTTCTTTTTGTTTTGCAAAGAACTCCAAACAAGTCATGCTTTCCTTTTTCTCTAATAAAGGATGCTGAGAGTTTTCAAGACTTTAAAGGTGCCTCCAGGGAAGCTGGGCAACCTGAAGAATGTCCTGAGCCTTCAAATGGCAGAGAAGCAAATGCTTGAGACAAATGAAGAGTCTTTGGTACAATTGCAGGTATGAAAGGCAAGGAACGGAAGAAAATATATTCCCTGTCTGCTGCTGCTTGGAGTGTTGTGTAAGTTTTTAGTAGATGGACTGCTGGCTATGCCTGTGCTGTTGTGGAAGAGTTGTCCGCTGTTCATCATCTCCCACCTTTGCTATAAAGCAGTGTATCTTTTTGGATGTTTTTTCAGTGACTCAGCTGATGCTGATTATCAGTATCTTATACGCAAAAGGCTCGCCATCTCTAAAGTAAATTTTGTTCTGGTTTTGTGTCTATTTTGTCTTAGGAAGAAATAAATGAAGCTGAGCGATCAGCAGAACGCATTGAAGAAACCATAAAACAACTGCAGTACAAAATCCAGGTGCTCAAGAACCAGTTAGAGGAAGATGAAAAAAAGGCCAGGAAGGTACTTCCAATGGATGTTGCTGCATTCCTCTAAGGAGAATGTGTTTCCAGAGCTATCGCACCCAAGCTGTTTCTGCAGAGTGTCATATGAGGGAGGCCTTATTTGCCTTTGGGAATGTATCTTTTCAATCTTTCCAACTTGAGTTGCAAAATTAAGAAATTTAATTTTCAGAAGTTGGATAATGACAGCCAGCTTATTTTCCTACTTTGTGCCTGATGTTTGGTTTTGTATTTTTTTCCCTCTTTTTCCCCTTTTAGGTATTCCAGGAAAATGGCAGTGGAGCACTCCACCTTCCAGAACTCCCCAAGCGCAGTTTACAGGCACCCATTCTGCAGGTGAGCATGGAATATATTTTCAGAGACACCTTGGCTATGAAAAGAAAGACAACAGAATGTGCTTTTATCACTTAACCTGTGCCAGAGGGGGCAATTCAGAAAATTCTGAAATATCTGAAAGTTATCTCTTTTTTTCTTTTTTTTTTTTTTTTCTTTTCATTGAGAATTATATGCTTGCATTTTAAAAACATAACAAAACCCTAGAAAACCTGCCTTTAAAGGATCACGTGTCTTTTCCTTGGAGCCCTATGGTCCTAGGGAACCTGTAATCATTTCTGAATTATATCTCTTTGTAACTGATGGAAGGAAGACTGTCTCGTTCTGTGTCTTTGAATCTTTTTTATTTTAGCAGTATTTAGGTACAGCTAGGCTTCATGAAAGTGAAATTTCTGTTGGACTCGGTGAAAGCTGTTTTTTATTTGTTGTCTATTATTCTTTCCTTCCTTCTTTAGGAAGAAATTTTGAAGATAAAAAATCAAAAAGGTCTTTTAAAGGATATGAATACTATTCAGCAGTCAGCTGACTTGAAGAACCTGTTAACTCTCATTGAAAAGACTTATGAGAAGGTGGACTTCCTTTGAGAAACCGAAATATATGGAGTCTCCTTTGAAGAAGATAACCTAGGCCAGCCCTCTGTGTTAACGTAGAGCGGTAGGGTGCTGATCATGGCAACAGTGCGTTCTTCCTAATGGCTTTACTGTTCTGACTGCTGAATTTCTGTTAAAACATTTTCTGTGAATATTGGTATAGAAATCTGCAGATGCATTCTGGGACTCTAGTGATTTAAGTGATCAGTCAAGGTTTTTGGGCTTTTTTGTTTTTGGACCTGTGGTAACTTCTAATGATGATATATACTGTCTTAGGAGAAGGGAGGGAAGTGGATCCTGGGTTTATTTGGGCAGTTGTATAGAACAAGGCAACCTATTCCATTATATTTGGACTTCTATATCACATCTAAACATTGGTGAAGGCAGTATCCCTTACCAAACTAACTTTTGTTTTGGAGTTAAATCCTCTTTAAACCTGAAACATGTAGTAAAAATATGATTACCTAATGCTCAGTTGCAAATCCCCTGTTCAACTTTCTTACCATTTTTTAATAAAAAATCTCCATAGCAGGAAATTCAATAGTTTTTTTGAAGTGTACAGGATTTTTTTTTACATTTTCATATTCAGTGCTTAAAAAAAAAAAAAAAAGACATTCACACCTGGTTTATCCAGGTTGGAGAAAGCAGATAAGAACATTATAGAGCAAAGCTCGAATCTCAGAGTTGTGTACTCACCTTATTCCATTAACTGTCAGATATTCTTGTGCTTCAGAGGAAGAAAATTAAGTCAAAAGTCTAAGCACTTTAATCTCTCCTCTATTTTTTCCATGATAGACCTTCTCCCTTAAAAGATTCAGTTATTATAAAGTGCTTTCTCCAGTCAAATTATCTGCCAGAAGACAGCAGTGCTCTTTACATTGACTTACTACACAAACACTTGTTCTTTTGTTTACAAGCTGCTGGTACTCTTAATGAGACATGAGCTAATTATCTCTATTCTCCTATGAGAGATTAAAAGCCTCTCTGTAGTTGCTTCATCTAGGATGAGGAAAACCAGACTAAGTCCTTGCCTGTTTTGTACTGAATCACATGAAAAAGTATATAAATATTTAGAAATATTTCTCAAATTTCTGATCACTCGACAAGGGGAGCACTTACTGACATAACCGCTACCCCAAAGTAATTTAATCCAGTTTATGGGTTAATGATTTTCCTGCATGCCAGCTATCTTAATTTTTGCTAAGTAAAGATATACACTCCTTTGCTTTCACGAAGGGTGACTTACTTGCAAGCAATTTACTATGTGGGTTTTGAACTTCATGAACCACATAAATACCTTTTTTAAGGAAAAAAAAAAAAAAAAAGGCAAAGTGTAGAGAAGGGCAGTAAGTAGGGTCAGGGATATGCTATAACTTCCGTACAAGGAAAGCTGAAATAGTGGTAGCTGAGGAAGGAAGTAGTAAAAATGTAAAGCATTTCATGAAAGTATTGAGTAGGAATTGGTTACTCACTCCTTCTTACAATGTAGGAATGAGGGAACAGCCAGTTTGGTGGCTAGACAGCAAGTTCTAAAATAAGGTACTCTGTGCAACAGCGCTAGAAGATTCTGGGTAAGCCAAAGTGTACAAAAGATCTGAAAAAGAAGTAAACAAATCTATGAAGCCCGTGTCCATCAGAGCAATTAAATGGTTTGGACTTTGGGGACGGACGGCAGCACAGTAGCCAAGGGCCGTCTGGAGCAGGGACCCAAACGTGGTGCACATATGCAAATACGACTATGGGTCAATCATCTTGCTTACAAATAGTGAGCCGCCCGGGGCGTGTTGAGCTCTCCTGCACGGCAGCCAGCTGCGTGCCAGGATCTCCCCTTCAGCAGGGACGCCTCTCAGGGTTACTCCTCGAGGCTGAGAGATTCCTTGCTGCAACAGATCCTCGGTAAGTGACTAATACCATGCTAAACTTTCAAATTGTAGCTAAGTGATAGAACGGCTTGATTGCACGTATATAATCCTTAAGACATAAAGTGTTGACCAAGTCTGAGGCTAAGTCTGGATCCAGCCGCACCTAGACTCCTCTCTGAGAAGGAGTTTAGAAAGTGAGGGGGTCCTTTCTGAACCTCATGACTCAACGGGACGGTCTCCCTGACAGTTTTTGTCTGACCCTGTTCCCTATGCAGTAAACAGTCCTTTGCCATCGAATCTTGTTAAACCACTGTCGTGTTTACCATTGAGCCTTGTTAACTCACTGTTTTATATCAATAAAGTTTTATTTTTGCTTCTCTCTCATTCCATCTGCGACAAACTGGCGTAGTCGGCAGGATGGCAAGCAGTGTCACCCATTACTTATGGAGGCACAGAGAGAATCCAAGTCTCAACTTCTGAGAAGAATTGACTTGTGACAATTGGCATAATTGGGAAGCCGTGGAAGAGCTGCAGATGAGCAATGCGTTAGCCCTAGGCGTTCCCAGAGCTGCCATTTGTCCTGGTTTCAGCTGGGATAGAGTTAATTTTTGTCTTGGTAGCCAGTATGGGGCTGTGTTTCGGGTTTAGGATAAAACCAATGTGGATGATGCACTGATGCTTTGGTTCTTGCTAAGTAGTGCTAAGCTGTTGCTAAATGGCGCTCACACTGGTCAAGGACTTTTTTCAGCTTCCCCTGCTCTGCCAGGGGCACAAGAAGCTGGGAGGGGGCACAGCCGGGGGGGTGCTGACCCAGACTGGCCAAAGGGCTATTCCATACCATGTGACGTCATGCTCAGTATATAAGCTGGGGGAAGAAGAAGGAAGGGGGGGACATTGGCTATGATGGCGTTTGTCTTCCCAAGTAACCGTTACGCGTGATGGAGCCCTGCTTTCCTGGAGATGGCTGAACACCTGCCTGCCGATGGGAAGTAGTGAATGAATTCCTTGTTTTGCTTTGTTCGCACGCGCGGTTTTTGCTTTGCCTATTTAACTGTTCTAATTTATTTTACTTCAATTATTAAACTGTTCTTATCTCAACCCACGAGTTTTCTCCCTTCTACCCTTCTGATTCTCTCCCCCATCCCACGGGTGGGGAGTGAGCGAGCGGCTGCGTGATGCTTAGTTGCTGGCTGGGGTTAAACCACGACACCATTCAAGGTCAGCCTGCTGGCATCATCTTGAGTCTGATTGAAGGATTCCCAAAACGAGATAGTGGTGAAAGGAAGGAGCATATTTCAACTCAGCAGCAGTCCTCAGAAAGGGAGACAACCCCTTCCTCCCCCTTAGGGAGGAACTGCAGGATGTGAAGTCAAAAACCGAGTAGTGTCGGGAAAGGAACTGGGCCTGCCTGTCTGGAAAGTGGAGGCTTATCAGTGGGTAAGTGATGATGGCCCATACGTTTTAATTCCAGTCGGTCCTCAAGGACAATTGGTGAAGTTTCTAATAGATACGGGAGCACAAATTTCAATACTAACACAACAAGATGGGCGTGTGATCCGGGCGGCAAAGAGTTAAGATTACCTGTGTGAGCAGCGCGAGCGTTGAGGGTCAAATGGCCAAGGTCAATTTATGGCTCCTGGGCGAGAAGCACATGTCCACTACTTGCTTTGCAATTAAAGATAATCATCATGAAAACATTTTAGGATTCGATGTTTTAAAACAGAGGAACCTGGTGCCTGCTGAATGGCAGCGTGTGGTCTTTTGGCCCAAACATCGATCCCAACCCTGGCAGAAATCAGGATGTTCTGGTGCGGGTGCTTGGCACAGCCCCGGCACTCCCTGATTCAAAAACCTGTAACGTACTGCAATATCCGATTTCTGCTGTGGCACAAAATGGGATTTCTGAAGTCATAGCTGATTTGGAGAAACGACAAATTACTTCCAGAAGCCTCTTCCCGTACAACCCACCTGTCTGGCCAGTTCGGAAACCAGACGGGAGGTGGCGTCGGTTATCGGCGTCTGAATGCTGATAGAGCCCTGCTGACAGCTGCTCTACCAAGCTCTGCCGCCCTAAGAACTGCTTTGCAAGCAGCTGCACACCCACGGATGGCAGTGCTGGATGTAAAAGCTATGTTCTTTATGGTTCCCTTAAAGAAGGAGGAAAAAGAGAAGTTTGTTTTCACTTGGGAAGGAATACAATGTACCTTTAACAGATTCCCACAGGGGTATAAATGTTCACCCACGATTGCTCGTGCTGCACTGGCTGAACTTTTACAGACGGTCTCACTCCCCCAAGAAGGGAAACTGTCCCAGTCTATAGATGATATCCTGACTGGGGGGGCTTCCCCTGAGAAGGTGGGGGAAGCGGCAGCACAGTAGGGCAAGCACTAAGTAAGCAGAAATTGAGATTCCACCCGGAAAATGTCAGGGACCAAGTAAAGAAGTAAAATTTTGAGGTACTTGGTGGATAGCAGGCAGTGCAGTGATTCCTCCAGACACCTTACGAAAAATGGAAGATCTGCAAATGCCCCGATCAAGGAAGGAGTTACAACTTCACGGGAACTTTAGGATATTGGAGGAAGCATGTCCCTGGATTTTCCCACCCATTATACTCACTCTTATGGAAAGGCAAACCCTTGGAGTGGAAATTAGAACATAAAGAGGTGATCAAAACTCTAACTAACTGAAGAATTAAAGCTGTATCTGTCACTGGGACCAGTACACCCCCATGACCCTATTGTAGCCGAATGGGGTTTTGCCGAACACGCTGCTTACTGTAACCTGTTCCAAACTGGCCCCGATGGGTCAAAAAGACCTTTATAGTTTAGCTCAACCACATTTAAAGAAACAGAACAATGATACTCTGAATGGGAAAAGGGACTTTTATCTTTAGTCCTAGCAGTTAAGTTGACAAAATACATCAAGGACAACCTGTGCAAACTAGAGGACCATTTAATTTACTAGAAGCAATCCTAAACAGGACTGCTCCCTCAGAAGGAGTTGCACAAACCCCCACTATCAGAAAATGGTACGCCTACCTAACAGAAAATATGCAATTAACTGAAGGACACACTAAGGTTTCCAAATTGCAGACGCCCATAAACACAGACCCTTTTAGCATTACAACAACCT